ATGGCTAACCTATACTTATCCAGCAGCTCCTAGCTGTGTTGCTTCTCATAAACGAGTTATTTATTATAAACAAGGATGTTATTTCTTATAGACATTTGTGTTATTTCTTATAAACAAGTGTGTTATTTCTTATAAACAAGTGTGTTATTATGTACAAGTGTGTTATTTCTTATAACAAGTGTGTTATTATGTACACGTGCTTATGTCTTATATACAAGTGCATTATTTCTTATAAATATGTGTATTATTTGTTATATACAATTTTGTTATTTCTTATATACAAGTACGTTATTTCTTATGTATATGTTGGAGAGGAGCGAGAAAAAAAGAGGAGCAAGACCCCTTAAACTTAAGGCAACGTGGAAAACAAGACTAATTGTATTACTTCTGGAGATTTCATGGACACTGAGGGAGAAGAAGTCGACAGTGACTGCGTGAAGCCACAGTTTTCCTCATCACTTGAGTCTCAACAGTCTTTGGTCTCATCACACACCCATAAACGAGGGATACATTCGCCAGATAACTGGTACTTGAACTGAGTTTCAGAACAAATTTCCAGTCAAAAGACAAATTTCCTTATACGTATATTATTGTCTTGGATGCGATGTCAGTGAGCTTACTTGTCTGTATATAATGTTCAAACCTTTCCAGATTAAAGATACCCAAATGTTGCGTACGTATTTCATTTTTCAGCTTGTCAGTTTTCCAAACCATTTACTCAAATTTTGTCAGACACAGTAACATCTCGGGATCGTCATTCAAGGAATTCTTCAAAACTTGCCTAACCTCTTTGGCATGATCTACTTCCACTAGTGGGTTTTCCACTGGTGACGCCGCCTACCACTGCTCTAACTCATCTGTCTGCAGTACATAATAAGCTTCATCTCTGCGAATATGCTACATTTTATTCAAGATTAATGGACTGAATACATTGACTCCAGGCTAAAGGACTGATTACCTCAAACTCCTGATTTTTCACAGTTCTCTGGATTGACGAATCCAGTGGCTTGCGAAAAGTTTCCAGAATAAAGAAACCCAAATGTTACACAAGTGTCTCATTTTTTTAAGTATCGAGAGGGAAAAAAAAGGGGGAGGAAATGTTACAAAGTAATTTGCACTAACACTGGCGAATGGTGTCATGCATGTACTTTGAGTATTAAAGCGAGGAGGAGGAGGAGGCTAGACTCAGTAGAGATGTCAAGTTTGAGAGCAATGTACGGCGTCAGTATTTTGCACAGAATTTTGAGAGTAGAAATTAGAAGACGGTATAGTATCACGAAGGAAATAACTGAGATGACTGAGGAAGGGTTGTTGAGGTGGTGTTACATTTAGAGAGTATGGAGAGCAAGAGGATGACCAAGAGGTGTATAACTCCTGGGGTGAAAGGACGAAAGGGTCGGGGTCATCCCTGAAAGGTAGAAGGGACAGGCTAAAGGTTTCGTATATGAGGCATTTGCCTCCAAGAGAGTAAGGTCGGAGTGGAGACAAGTAGTTTCTATGGTTTGACATGCTGCTGGGGTTCGAGCAAGGTATTATTTATGAAACGAAAGGATTCAGGGAAATCGGTTAGTCGTACTTGAGTCTTGGAGGTAGGAAGGGCAATGCCTGCATTCTGAAGGAAAGGTGGGGATGTGGCACTAGTAAGGTTATGTGAATTGCGATATCAGCATTTTTCTGGCAAGACAGCTCCTGAATGAAAGATATTGAATGTGCTTTCTTTTTCTTTAGCAGTCGCGCTACCTCCGTGAGAGACGGCCATTGACGTAAAGAAAAAATAAAAGGGAATTATTGGCTTGTGGTTGGTACAAATAGGCAACCAACGTTACATGTTACATCCCTTATCTTACATCGCAGGACACTAGATTGTGCTCCTTTGTTTTTGTAAACATCCGGTAGCTCCGGCGAGCCACCGGATGCTTATCTACTGATACGTACTAGCAGTAAGACTGCCACTGTAAACATTGATACCCAACACCGGTGCGACAACAGTTGCTTAATCGTTGAGTGAGTCGTAACTAGAAAAAGATTCTTGTCAGGAGATAATTTCCTGGCGAAGAAACCAACTTCACCATCTCTACACACAAAATCATGATGCCCAGGTGTGTCTGCAACAATTAGGTGCCAAAATGTTTCTACAACAATAGGATGCCCATGTGTGTCTACAATAATAAGATGCCCAGGAGTGTCTACAACAAAAGGGTGCCCAGGTGTGCCTACAAAAGGGTGCCCATATTTGTCTACAACCATTTTAAGATTTTAAACAAATGAAAATCTGTTGCAAAACCCGATTCTGGTTCATGTGGAACCTGGAGTTTACCTGGAGAGAGTTCCGGGGGTCAACGCCCCCGCGGCCCGGTCTGTGACCAGGCCTCCTGGTGGATCAGAGCTTAATCAACCAGGCTGTTGCTGCTGGCTGCACGCAAACCAACGTACGAGCCACAGCCCGGCTGATCAGGAACTGACTTTAGGTGCTTGTCCAGTGCCAGCTTGAAGACTGCCA